TGCTTCGGCGTACCTGCTATCCTCGCCCGGCTCGTCCCAGTTGTGAGTGCTGAACCCCCTCCCCCCCCTGCGGACTCGTCCTTGCGAAGTCGGCGGCGAACAAGAAGCCTGAACACTAGCTCTGATCTATCTATATATATATATATCATTATTATTATGGGATAAGTGATATATATATATATACATATATTATAGCTTTGTCAGGATGAGAGAAAGAGAGAGTCTACCCCTGAACCCCAAACGCTGCCCGCTGGAGCTCCTAGCCAATTTGCTCCACCGACATCGGAGTTCTCAAATCCTTACAGTCGAAAACAACCCGGCCCGAAACCCAGCAAACCCTAAAAGACTAAACCCAACCCTAAACCCGAACCTACGCGTGTCACAGTGGAAGAGAATGGAAGAAAAGAAAGAATGGTGCCACTCCCGAGCACGATAGGGGTAATAGGGGTCCGCATAATTGTAGCAATAATATTCCCTTACAGTCCCTTTCTCATAGTCCTGCAAAATATACCCCAATTCTTTTCCAATTGTTCACGAGAAACCCCGGACCGACCGATTTCCCAGCAGTTGCAGTACATATCTGTTGACGCCGAGCTCAACTCTGTAGTGCTAGGTTCGGGAGCCAGCAACTTAAGCGACAAGGCAGGCCAACAGTTTGCTCCAGAAGCCTTAATTCGTTCATGTGCAAGGGCACTGGCCTGACTTTGCACGGCAGCCGCCAGCTTTGGTTTCATCTTGGGCTTGAGCCTTAAACCCCAATCCTGGGATACAGGAGGGCTTGCCTCAAATTCAATATTGCTGCATCCTGTCCTGTTGGGATCATTCTGCAGGGTTGATACTGACAGTCTGGTATTGGTTAGGCTGAGATCGTGTTGATGTTTCGCTTGCCTTTCGGATTCAATGACCGGGTTACCGGATCACAGCATACAGGAGCCGAGCGAATTCTCTAATTCTGGAGGATGTCGCGCTGGTCGCGTCGCCCGTGTCCTTCCGACCCCAGTTTAGACTTGATGCTTCCCAGCGATAACCACAGCAGGAAGGCAGCTCCAGGTTTAGAGTTTAGGGCTTGTCAGCATGTACTGTACTGGTTTACGTTGGTTTGATGAGTTGTAGATCACAACGGCAGCAAGAGCAGGAGCAGGAACAAGAACAACCAGCAGCGCTGCTGGATCATACCACAACCCTAAACGCTGTGATAAGCTGCCCTTGGCCGACCGTTCCTCACGGTCATAAACATAGACATATGTCCCCCCCAATACACACCCACCAATAAATGCCAACGGGACTTTGGCACAGTAGGCTTGAAACCCCAGGCCCTAAATCCTATGCATCTAGGTGGGAGGCAAAAACAAATCCTAAACCTGAGCCAACGAGGCACCCACAAACGCCTGGTCCGCCAGGGGGCGTATTAATGAGAATGTCGGTAGATGCTCACTGTACTGACATGACCGCGGCATTCGTCTTCGTGGCACTTGGGGCTTAAACTTCAGAGGGGGCTGAGGCCTCAGATGTCATGATAAGCCTGCAACAAAGTTAAAGCGCTTGGAGTGCCAATCCTGCTGGAGAGTAGTAACAGCTGCGTGTGCACCACGCTAGACCGGGCTTCTGCAATCTGAGTTCTCGATGAAATCGTTGGAAAAAGTGGTGTGGCCATGTTTGCCTCAGCTCTATGGCTTCGGGCTTTAGCCTCTAGCCGAAGGGTCCAGTACCAGTCATTTGTGCTTGAAAGTTCCGTCTTGCACTCAAAAGCTGCGGTTCTACTGCTGCGACCCTCTTGTGGCACATATACTTTAATTAAACTACAGAATATACTCTTTCTGTGTATATGTATATCTTAGTATGTATCTATATATATATATGTTATATGTTTGTATATATATATTTATGTTTGTAATATATATCTATATACACATAATATACTAGTATGTATATGTATGTATGTATGTATGTATGTATGTATGTATGTGTGTATGTATGTATGTATACATATATACATATACATATACATATATATACATATAATATCCCATTTCCCTGCATAAAACATGCACACAAGCAGTCTGCACTCGAGCAACCCGGCGCAGAAATCTGCCTAAAGGGGAGTGGGTAAACAGAGATTGAACCGGCTGAGTAAAAACCGTTTCACGTCACCCAGTATCCTGCAAAACCAAAAACAGCTCCGACTGACGTACGACGTAAAAGAACAGCTAAACAACCTGCAGGTTCTGTTTGGCACCGCGCAGAACCTTCACAACCGGCTACCAAACAATTCGTGCCCTGAGCCAATTCCTCCAAGCGCCGGGGAAGGCAAACTGCAAGACAAAAGCCCCACATACTTGCTGTAGATGAAATCGAAAAGCATGTCCCGCTCCATCATGCATGCCATGTACGGTGCCAACGTAAATACAGACACGTATGCTGAGCAATCAGTCAGACTGCAATCATGTCGTATGGAGATTCCGCAACTGAACCCAAGTGGCGCAGCCGATCCAATTTTCCTTACAAGGCTGTAAACATCGCGGTATTGATTTCATACCCCGCTCCAGAATAGCCTTAAAAAATGGGGCAGAGAGAGATATGTACTAGGGCGAATCCCGCATAGAAGTGCAGCCATGTTGGATGTGAAGCCATCTTTCGTTTCGCTCTATAGTCTAAAGTAAGCTTCCTGACGTGTCTGCGGGCAGCCTCATCACCAAAAAGTTACAATATAGCAACACCATATTAAACATAATGATAAGGCTATCAGTCAAAAGAGAACTGTAGTCGTCATCGTCGCAGGAGCAGCAGCAGCGGCAGGCAGCAGCAGCAGCAGCAGCAGCAGCAGTTAGTAGTGATAAAAGTTTAGATCTTATCATTACATATATCATATCTTATCATATTATATTATACCGTGCTGAGGTCTGGAGCTCCAGCGGCTGGGCGCTTTGGAGGGTCTCAGGCACCGCCAAGACGATGTTTGGGGGGACTCGGGTTTTCCGAAATTTTTGGTCCACCTTGAAGTGAAGACACCCCTCAAGGCCCTAAGCCTGAAACCCTCTGTGTGTGATTCTCTCGGATTTCGGACGGCGCCAGACTCTGGAGTTGTCTGATCTCCTTGGTGAAGTTTCAAGCTTCGGCAGCCCACCCGGGACACTTGGAGTGGTTTTTGCCAGAATGGGTCTCTTTTCGAAGACTTTGCGATTGCTTGGGATTTCCTGTGGCAGTCCATGATGGGTAAGTCTGGTGTTGGGTCCCTTGTTTTCCCTGGCCCTTCCGCAGCCCAGCAGGATGGCACAGCAGCATCACGCGGCATCCACAGGCACAGGCCCCAGTCGAAAACCCTGCATGCGCACGCACAGCTTAGTGGGCAACGTTGCTGTCTTGTCCTGGGATGGCCACAGCTATGACCTTGTCACCAATACGACAGCCACTCTTACGTCACGACTCAATGGCCCGACCAGGCCCTTCGTGGCATTTCCCGAATGCGGTACGCGAGCCCTGAAACCCTGAAGCCCTATACACCCGAAATTCTAATCCATAGTCACCGGTGATCGGATCCGATGTGCCCCTGCTCCGCGATGGCATCAACAGCGACATGCGGCGACATGAAACGAGTTTACACAAAAAAAACTTTAACCCAAAACCCTCAACTGAAGCCTGCACGGCTGGCGAAGTAGGAGGCTGAAAAGACGGGACAAAGGGGCAAATCAAAAGCAAAGAGTTGGAATCGAACTAGGGCCTGGGGGCGAAGGGAGGTTGGATGTTATGAGAGCGAACTTTTCTGAAGTGGAAAATCAGAGGTTTGACTCTTTGGGCACAGAGCTTCCAGCTTGAGCATCGGGCACTTTGCGACGTAGTTCAGGGTTTAGGGTTTAGGCCGTTCTACTACTGGCCGGCAACCTCGAAAGCTCCGGCTGGGGATCAGCAGTCAGGTGATGTTCTGCCGGCCATCTTTCGGACAATTCAAGTCCTGGAGGCCCGGGTATAGCTCAGTCTGGTGTGTTTCTTTAGCGACTGCAAAGTATCGGAATGCTGCCGGGCATCGTGTTTTCGGGAGTTGACTGGGTCAGGGCCCTGCAGGGCGGGCTCAGGTTATCACGTTAAGTTGTCATGGGCCCGTACCACCTCAGAAATCGCTTCGCGCTGGTCCATAGCCACGGGATCAAGCAGCCAGCAGCTTCAAGTATTTGCTGGACGAGGCAGTTCCGACAATTTCCGGAGTTGTTTTTGATCTTGGCTTTGGCAGGAGATGAGCACCATAATAATTAATCATGCTTCTTCTCGGCACGCATACACACAGGTGTGTACACGTGCATGTGGCTCACTTTGTGTGCTGGTCCTTCTGTGCTTCTGGCATGTTGAGTGGCTGGTCTTGAGGGTCGCAGAGTTTGGAGATCGGAAGCTAAAGCATATGGGGGTTTCCGAAAATAGGGGACCCTAACATAGTACCCTAAATAGCAGGATCCCTATTATAAGAACACCAAAATAAGTTACCCTAATTTTCGGAAAGTCCCAGATGCTGGAAGCTACGGTGTTCTTGGGCCTTCGAGGTACTTCCAGTGGCTGATTCAAGCGCACACACGCAGACACTTGCACATGGGCAGAAGCGCAAGTCGCGAAGGCAACTAAAGGGCCAAAGGTTCAAAATGGAACCGTTGAAAGCTTTTTCTGAGGCTGCTTGCCTACACTGTTGGCTCTGGCCGGTTGCTGCCAAGGATCAGGGTCGAGGGAGCGTTCCAAACATCCCACAGTGTAAACAGGTTTTGTTGCATATATTCTTACGGACCCAAGACTGGAACGATCCGCGTAGAGAAGGCATTGAAACTGAATCCTGGAAATAGAGGCACGTTTGCCTGCTGCGTTCGAGTTCCGAGCGTCCAAATCTGATAGAACCCTCATCGCGCCCTATATTAAAAACCTCATAAACCGCCCTACACCGAGTCCTAAACCCAAACTCTACTGTAAAGCTTATCCAAAGCCCTCATAACAAGAAACCCTAAAGAACCCCAGGGCTCGCTGGCATGGCGCTGGCACTTGGCGGGCATTCCCCCGTGATCATCCCACAGCCCAGGGTCCATGCGCAGAGTTTGCCGGTTTAGGATTGAGGGGTTGCGGTCTAGGGGGCCAGCTGAACAGTATCAGAGCATGGGCTGAAAAGGCATTTAGGGTCTAGGCGGTCTAGGCGGCTAGGGTTTATGTTCTTTCGTATGAGTTATATTAGGGTGTTGTTGGGGGTCTTAGGTTTGAGTGTGTCTGGCTTTCAAGTATCGGCAACAGTTGAAGTCGGCTTATACAGAGCTTCGAAAGTGGTAGGAAGATTGCAACCTGTGGCAGCACTCGCAGATAGCTGCTCTTCACTTCGGTGTGGTTTGCACTTAGGCTGGGCTGGTGCGTTGACACGTAGGCAGAAGCTCCACGTTAAGTCTTATCTATAGGTGTTATGCATGCACTCACGCTTACAAGTCGAGACGCCGTCGTACGTTGACACCGTCCGTGTCTGCATGGAACCCTCAAGTTGCTCAGCTGCTTGATCATATTTGATCATCTTGAGTTTTGAATATAGTCAATTGCACCCGCTATTCTATCCTTCTGCTTTGGCAGAGCAGCTCTTCAATCGCCTGCTTGTCGTATGTATGTGACCATCCCCACATCTTAAGCAGTCGGCACAACCGGATTCGCATCCTGCAGACTGTATGGAGCGGCATCGAAGCCAACTGTTTGCTTTCGTGCGATACGATGATACGTTATAAGCTGCATTTTTTTCAACATGTACGGTTGCAGTTTCGGCTTTGCCAGGCTTTGCAACATGCTGTGTCGTACTGCTCTCGATTGGCATACTGCTGTGAGACCGTGCTGTGTTTGCATCGTTGCACTCATCTGCTGTTTCGTTGCTTACCGTTTTTGGTGTGATGTTGAACTCCATCAGTTGAGAAAGTAGAACTGGACCAAACGGTGGGCGCGTCGTTCCAAGCGCACATATTGACCTGGCATTGGGCACCAGCGTTATGGGGACAATGTTGGTTCGCATCCGCGTGACAGCCTCGAGCTTTTCCGGGCAATGGGCCAACCGGGCAGGGATACCTGCGGACCCTTAATGGAAATGAGAACAACAATTAATAATGATGATAATGGTCATCACCACAACTTTCGGTATAACTAATGGTGATGTTTGTCATCATAATAATTACAAGCATAGCCTTATCCAGAAAATTAAAAATGAATAAACAAACAACCAAGTATATAATCATGTATATACAGACATACATACATACACACATATATATATACATATATAGATATGTAATCATACAGTTGTTGGTTATGCTTGATATTTGTTGATGTTCACTACTGGCTGTCTTGTTCTTGTTACCATGTGGTCCTGAAGCCACAGAGCTGCCAGGCTGTGCGATCGGCGCCCAGCCGGCGATCAATTGGCCAGGGCACAGCTGAAGGAGTCTTCTTGCTGCGCCTTGCTAGGATTTCTGGATCGTGTAGGGTTTAGGAGTTTAGGGATTAGGCTTAGGGTTCAGGGTTTACTGTAGGTTTAGGGTTTGGGTCTTAGGCTACATGGTTTAGGGTTTAGGTTTAATTGGGGTTTAGGCTAAGGCGTCCTCACGGGATCCTACACACTATCTGTACACCTCACAAGCACCAAACTCACCAAACCATCCCAGAGTTACATCGACATAGGGTGTTTTGTCTTGAACTTGGGGTGGGGCAAGGGCGGCTTGCAAATTTCAAAACCTCGGATCCAACGCTTGTCTACAACATTAGCATCTTTCAGCCATACAAGCTAAAATGCGATCGCTGAACGACGAAGACGGTTCCGTGAGTCAGGTGTTGTGTTCCAATGTATCCCAACCTCTACATCCATAACCTTGAATCATTGACCCGACGCTGTTTCTTTTAAACTGCCCTAAACTTTTGCCCACTTTGCCGTGGAGCGATGTCTCCGAGAAGTCACGTCGGCTCCGGGCTGTAGGGGTGGTCTTCATGGGTTAGAACGGTTTCGGTGCCTGCGAGTTTTCTCTAACGCGACGGATTTAGGTGGAGCCTTGCCTTCCTTGTGACAAGATTGAGAGTCGAAGCCACGTTGCAGGGTTTTGTGAATTGCTCCCAAACCCTCTTGTTCTATTCCTCAAGCAGACTGTATAAAGCTCTTACAGAAGTTGAAGAAGTCGGCCCGTGTTTCTACAATCCACCGCATTAGGAGTTCAGATCCACGTTTACGCTCGAAACTCTGCTGCAGGTCGACTGGAGTCCTTGTCGCTCCCCACATGGGCAGGGGTGCCGCAGCAACACTTGGTCCTTCTCCTCTCTCCCCCTCCTTCTCTTTCGCTCTGCATTCCCTGGGTTAATTACAGATATCAGCGCGAGGGGCTTGCAGTTCAGGGTCGTTGGAGGATCAAGCAAAAGACTTCTCACGGTTTGGAAGTGCTGGTCGTGTTCGGCAGAAGTGGGCGGTCTTTAGCTTTGGATTGGAGTTCGTGCCAGTAGCATTGGCCACCTGCTTGCCTGTAATTTCTGAGGATCCCGTCAGAGAGAGCACACTTTGAAACACTCTCACCGAAGGCGTAGGTCTGTACATGATGCCACATGTGTCTTTCCACGGCTTCCAGCATAGGAATGTCTGTTTCTTTGCTTAGACCAAATAGGCAACTATAGATATGCAAACGAAGATGTAAGACTTGCACACACGCACACACGCACACACACGCACACACACACACACACAGAGGCAAGCACACACCGTCACACAGGTCTATGATCTATGTACACAGATCTTTGCTTGCCCGTCGAGGGCGAGTGCGAAAAATGCAGATATTTGCATGCATACATACAGACATGCAGACATACATGCATACGCACATACATATATACATGTACATACGTGCACATACATACATACATACATACATACATACATACATACATACATTCATGCATACATGCATGCATATGCATATGCATATGCATATGCATATACACATACATGTACACACACACATATATGCATTTGCATATACATATATAAATACACATACATCAGACATACAGACATACAGGCATACATACATACCTACACACATACACACACACACGCATACATACATACACATACACATACGCATACACATACGCATACACATACACATACACACACACATATATATATATACATGTACATGTACAGAAACATATACATATACTTGTACATATACATACACAGACACAGACACATACACATCCACATACACATACACATACACATACATGCGTACATACATACATACATACATACATACCTACATACACATGTATGTACGTATGTACGTACATCTGTATGTATGTATGTATGTATGTATGTATGTATGTAGGTATGTATCTATCTATGTATGTATGTATGTATGTATGCATGTATTTATGTATGTATGCATGTATGTATGTATGCATGTATGTATGTAGGTATGTATCCACCGATTAGATCTATACTCGTCCCTTCAACTGTCAACCACCGTAGATTCCACCAAGACAGGTCTGCGGAGAAGCCTCGCAGCTCGAGCTGGGGTCAAGGCATGCTTGAATGCGGCGTTAGGGTTTTGGAAGTTGTGGGTTTCGGGTTGCGTGCTTTAGGGTTTTTTGGGGTTTGGGGGGAGGTTGACCGGTAATGTCACATGGGACATCCTCTCGTCTTGGGAAGTTCTGTGTCGTGGAAGTGTTGTTTTCGTGCAGCAGGGTGCAGATTTTCTGAGTTGTTCCCAGCGCACCTGCCTTTCCAGACTAAGTTGCACAGAATTCCGTTGTCTTCAGAGGGACCCCCAACATGCACTCACACCGTAGGTTGTAATTCGCATGGGAATCCTAAACACCTAAAAAACCCTTAGATCCTAAAGCCCCTTTGCTCTAGGCTTCCCCACTGCCGTCAGTTTTTGGCAGGCTTGCGCCGTCACTGCACCAAGGCTGGCCGAGATTGCCGAATGCCGTCCTCAAGCAACAAGGGGCGCAAGGTTCAAAACCCTCCTGGGTTTTAGTTAGGGTTTGGACGCCTAAACCCCTAAACCTTACGAAGCCAGGAAGCCTTTCCTTCGGTTTCACAGGCCGTTGGGACGTCGGGATTCGGAGCTGCTTTGGGACACATCGGCCCAGGTCTGAAACTCTTAAGACTGCTTCGAGATCCCCGGGGTTTGGCCGTGCTCACCAAGCTCCTGGGTCTCTACAAGCTGCAATATACCCCACGTAAAACAAAAACCATCCAGGAAGTCCCGGTGCTAAACCCCAAACATTCCAAGCCTTACTTGGGCCAGCTCCCAAAGAGCATTGCGCAGGCCGCCGCAGAGAGAGATGCTAGCTGTCCAGCCGGAGAGCCCTCTGCAGGAGGCGAGCCCTCTGCAGGAGGCGGAAGTCACTTAAAGCTTGCCTCGGCTCGAGGATTCAGGTTTGCGGTTTGGGGTTGCACTTGTAAGTCGTGCCCTTTCCGCGTGCTGATATAGGGTTTGGGGTTTCGGTGTCAGTGAACTGTTGAATTACCGACCAGACGACAGACGAGTGAGTTGCAATCAGTCTGGCGTTTTCCACCAGCCAGTCTGGGCTGGCTGTCTCTGCCATGGTACAGAATCAGGGCTCGTCGCTCGAGTCCTCGGCTGGCACAGAGTGACGGGGAATCGCTACATGTGGACCCTCAACTTCCCTCAACATCTTGCACGCTTTTCCTCAACGCTCCCGAAACTGCCAGTGTTCAAGGGCTTATACTGACTTGAAGGGTGCCTAATCACGAAAGCACTGAATGCTGTAGGACAGCGGCAGTCAAGTGCAGCTACATCGGAAGTCTCGGGAATGGAAGGCAGTGAGGAACCCCACTTCACGTGGTCCTTCTAAGCTAGGTTAAACTCAAGGACAAAATCAGGAGACCTTGCAAGTGACTCACATGCGGATTCTTGCAGGCATCGGCAATCCACTCTGCATCGAAGGCACAGACGCCGGTGCCAACTTCCCGAAGGAAAGGCAAACCTTTCATCGATTGTGTAGATATTGCGGCAGACTCAGATAGCGCTAGTGCAGCAGACTCTTGGTGTGCTGGGCTTGATAGTTACACTGAGTTAGCATGGCAACTTTGCTGGCTGGTGCGAGACTACAGCGCGAATGCGGTTGGCGATCACACAGTGCAGCCACAGCCTTCTGTCCGGAAACAAGACATCGTGCAAAATCATGCACTTCGTCAAGGCTTATGCGACAAACCAAGGCAGGCAAAAGCTTTCCCGCTCCAGAACCCACATCTGACAAGAAAATGCGTGACGCTGCCAGTGCAAAATCACAGCATATCACAGCACACAGGGTGGCTGAGCTGGACAGGAAAGTCGCCACGCGCCATCGTTCGTGTTGATACAATCTTCCCATCGCCTCTGATATCCGGTCGGCCAATGCCTAAAACATGAGATTGTCTGTGGGGTTTATGGTATCTTATAGTAACATGGTGTGATGTGGGGAAGTAAAAGGGAACAAGATTTGTCACTCAAAGGACCAGGCCCGGAAGCCACTTTAAACGGGCCTGAAGAAGCATGATTGCAGTGATTACACCACACTAGACCCAACATGCCCTTTGCTTAATAAAAAAGAATAATAAGCTGCAGCCGGAATTACACTACATTTGTATGATTTTGTGGCAACCTTTGCAAAGACTGCGAAATTGCAGCCTGACCAGGAGGCCTGTGGATGACATAGAAGCTGTTGTGCACACTGGACAATGCCCCCCACCACCCACCAAAAACAGCTCAGCTTAGGCAGCCTTGTCCCAATCCTTACGATCCTGAGTCGTGACTTGATTGGTCTTGTTCCCCGTATTAGGTCAACAAGCATGTGAACAATGAGATGCCGGACGAGTTCTGCCGTGGTTCCTCGGTCGATGTTCGGACCTGCAGAGTTCAATTCGGGCTCAGGGTCGAGCCAACGTGTGGCGTAGCAGTAAATCTTCCAACTGGGAGAGAAGTCGGAAACAGAACCGCCAATATCAAATCTAGACCTCTACGCTGATTGGATAGGAATGTGGTATGGGCCAGACCAATCTTAACACGAGATCACGGTCTTGACCAAGAGCACTCGGGGTTCAGCCCCGGTATCGAAATAATTCTGGTTCCGCGATGTCTTTTCCTTGACGCCCATCCGTCACGCTGTTAGGTTGGTGTGAGGTGCCTCTCTGGTTGCTTCAGGACCAACTGTCTGACATTGAAAACTCTCCAGTATCCCACCGGGATCGGAGGTCGAGGATAGGTATTCCGCCAGCAGCAGAATCAGATTTGCTTCTTGTGGGAAATCTCACTAAACCCGAAAGCAGCAGAGGCGTGAGCACCGGCTGGGCAAACCTGGATCAGTTGTACAGACCCGTACGCGGCGAGGTCACCGTAGCCACATGGATGCAAAGCTCGCGTGTATTGATCGACTGTCCTAACCTATCTGGCTGAAAGATAAATCACACAAGTCCTAGCTACACACGGGCCAGACCAACTATGAAGCAACAGCATCAGCATCCAAGACAAAGTGTCGACCAGGGTTTAGAGTTCAAGGTATCAGGGTTTTGCCACTTGCTCTGAGAACCACGCGGGCAAGTACAAGTCTCTGCAAAAATAGAGGTTCAGGGGTTTATGCATGTTTATGTTGGAACCAGGAGGCTGAAACGAAGCTTGACTAGGCCAGGGGCCGGGAAGAGCAAGCGAGCAGGGAACCCACAAGCCTGACTTGCACATTAGTCTGCATTTGCAGCTGCATCTTCATCTATATATATATATAATTCTATATCTCCAGATCTCTACTCTAAGTCTTTGTATCGAATACCTGTATCAACCTCCCTACCTACCTACCTGCCTGCCCACCTTTCTATTTTTCTATCAATCTATCTTTCTACCAACCTATCTATCTATCTATTTGTGTGTGTGTATATGCATAGGTATATGTAGATGCGTACATATAGGTACATATATATATATATGTATATGCATACATATGCGTTTATGTATGTATGTATGTATGTATGTATGTAATGTACTGTACTGTACTGTAATGTAATGTAATGTAATGTAAAGTAATGTAATGTATGTATGTATGTATGTGTGTATGTGTGTATGTGTGTATGTGTGTATGTGTGTATGTGTGTATGTGTGTATGTGTGTCTGTGTATGTGTGTGTATGTGTGTATGTGTATATGCATGCATGAGTGGATGTATGCATGTACGTATGTATGTATGTATGTATGTATGTATGCGTGTATGTGTGTGTGTATATATATATATTTGAATGTACACACACACACACACACCCATTGTTTTCCCCTTTCTCTTGCCTATGTCACCCTGGTTTACTTTTACCCCAGATCGCGTCGGGCACCTGGAAGCAGGATACGGTCTAGATCGATTAGACCCGATTAGAGTATAGTTAGGTCAATGCAACCCAGATTTCATCAGGCTGGTTTATGAAATTTGCCGTTCCTTTTTGTTGTATGGCCCTTGCTCGAGCGCAGACTGCTCCTTGAGTCAGGATGTACGTGCATGATATGTTCACCCTCTTCGCATGGTACCCGTAGGTCCAGGTCATGAGCAGAACCCGCCAGGCAGACCACGGTTCGCTGCCCCCGTGCGACCGGCTTGCATTGGTGGAAGCGTCAGAAGCGCTGAGGTGACCGGCACGCCTGGCAGTGGCAAGTCCGAGTTCCTGTTCTCATTGGCACTGAACCTGGCGATGACCCACGGCTGGAGGCAACTCTTGTTCTTCTCTTCTGCTTCTGGAAAGTAGTTGTGACGATGCCAATGACGGCACACATGACAAAGGTGGTTGAGGAAGAGGATCTGGATTCTGATGTTCATTCTAATGTTGATGGCGGCGGTGATGATGATGTTGACGATGATGCGTTTGGTGGAGATGACGGCGGTGGTGGTGGTGGTGGTGGTGCTGCTGCTGCTGCCGCCACTGCTGCTTGGCGCTGCTCCTGCCGCTAGTGATGTCGCTGGTATTGTTGATGATGAACACCATCATGATGACGGCGATGGTGCCGTCGAGCAGACTGGTGGTGGGGGTGCGGATGCTGCTCCTTCTGACCATGCTGATGATAACGAGGATGAAGCTGTTGCCGATGATCAATGTGACGGTGATTGCGGCAGTGACCTGGTAGCGTTTGCCTAGCAAGGGTTTCTCTGCATTGTGGTGATAATTGTAATGACCATATTTCGTCTCAAGTCTTGGCTGGCGGTGATGCCTGAACTGACGGTTTGGTGTTCTTATTGGCCTGTGTTGGTTTCTTTGCATGAATGGTGTTTCTCATCAGCAGCTTCGCCGTTTGACCCGGCAGAAGTGGCCGGCACTTGCTATAATAGGCCTGGATGCAAAAAAGCGGCAGAAGTGGCAAGCGCCAGCTCGACAAGTTGAGTTCATGCTCAGGGGCAGACCTGCAGCATTGATTGAGCTCTTTGCTGACCTGGATTTCCGAGCAATTCCGCTACCACGTTACCGATCGCCCCTTGTCGCCCCGAGCCACTGAAGCCCATCATGAAGGTTTCACTGCGTGCCGTTCGAGCACAAGCAGAAGGACTGGACAGTCCAGCTGCTCGAGAAACTCCATGAGGTGACATCGCGGCTCCGGGTTCAGGGGGTTTGGGGCTTCAGGGGCTTCGAGTGTTAACTGCCACGAACATGGGCTTAACAGCGCAACGAACCGGGGACAGCTCGTGTCATATCGGGATCGCGATGAGTAAGAACGTAAGACATGTTGTTCCCTCTCTCGCTCTCTAAATAAATAATAAATAAATAAGTAATATATACATATATATATATATATTTATTTATTTACATTTATTTATGTATTTATTTAATAGAAATATACATACACGTGCATGTTCACATAGTTAGTATGTATGTGTATATGTACATGTACATGTACAAGTACATGTACATGTACATGTACATGTGTATGTATGTATGCATGCATGCATGCATGTAGGTAGGTATGCAGG